AAATAAAATACATGTGTTAGGTTCCACCTATATGGGGTATCTAAAGTAGTCAGACTCTTAGAAAATAGAATGGTGGTGTCAGGGGCTGGCGGAAGTTGGGAGAGAATTGGATATAGCTTTTCTGTTCAGTGAGATACCAAATTCTAGAAACCTTATGCATAGCAGTGTGCATATAGTTAAAACTATTGTGCCATACAATATGATGTGGCTAAAACGGTAAATTATATACTATTTTTAATACAACATATATATGTATATATAAAACCCTAAGCAACCAGTCAACTGTTTGACCGGTCTCTGTGACACGCACTGACCACCAAGGGGCAAGCGTTCAATGCAAAAGCTGCCCCTGGTGGTCAGAGTGCTCCCACAGTGGGAGCCCTGCTCAGCTGACGGAAGGGTGCCAGATGCTGGGCTCATGGCTGGCGATCGCCGCTTCGGCAGCACGAGGCTCTTCCAGGGCAGCGCTGTGGAGCAGCGGCAGCTGCAGGTGCAGCAGGGCTGGGATGAGCAGTGGCACAGCGCCCTCCCTGGTGGCCTGCTGCTTCGGGCACTATTATTATACATCCCTAAGGGATATTGGACTGCTGAGGGATTGGCCCGTTCCCTGCAACTGGCAGTTCAACATCCTCTGAGGGGTCCTGGATTGCAAGAGGGTACAGGCCAGGCTGAGGGTCCCCCCTTGTGCACGAATCCATGCACCGGGCCTCTAGTAAAATATAAATTTGAATATGTAAATATGTCTGAGTAGATTTTTTTTCATTTGGTTTGCTTGGGATTTGTTGTCCCTACTGTATCTGAGGATTCATGCCTTACATTAGTTCTGGAGGAAAATGTCTCTCACATTCTCAATATCCTCTTTTTATGGAACTATTATTAAATGATCTTATTCTATCTTTTATGACACTTAATACTTTTTCATACTTTCTATATCTTTGTTTTGTGCTGTGTGCTTTTTATTGAAGCAAACATTCATACCACAAAAACACAGCAAAGTAGTAAGTATACAGCTGACGTGGATATTACAAACTGAGTAATCGTGAAACCAGCATTCCCTTCAGGAAAGAGACTAGGACCAACACTCCATTAATAATGCCCCCTCCAGTTACAGCTACCCTCGAGGGTAGTTCTTGTCCTCTTTACCTTAGTCTTGAGGTAGATGTTATCGATGGGATGTTTTTGCTAGGGGCTCTGTTGTTGTTGATGTTTTAATAGCAGTTTTGTTGAGATATAATTCACACACTCTGTAACTCAGTAAGTACAATTCAGTGATTTTTAGTATCTTCACTAAAGTGTGCAACCCTCAAGACAATCAGTTTTAGAACATTTCATCTCCCCATAAAGAAACCCATGCCCCTGGCCAATCCCGCTCCATTCCCCTCACCCTCTCCTCCCAGCCCCAGGAAACCACATTCTATCCTCCGTCTTTAGATTCGCCTATTCTGGATATTTCATATAAATGGAATCACACAACATGTGGTTTTTGTTACTGCTTCTTTCACATAGCATTTGAGTTACCTTTTGTAGATGGTATAAGAGAGAGGTCTAACTTCAGTGGAGATCAGCACTGTTTGTGGAAAAGTGCTATTCTTTGCTCATCAGATTGTCTTGACACCTTGGTCAAAAATCAATAGGTCATAAATGCGAGGATTCACTTCTGGATCTCAATTCTACTCTATTGATCTGTGGCATATCCCTCTTTTACAATCTGGATAAAGATTTTGACTGCCAGAGCTTTGTAGTAATCTGTGAACTTAAGAACTATAATATGAGTCATTTAAGTTTGTTCTTATTTTGGCTCTCATTTGTCTCTTGAATTTCCATGTGAGTTATAGGATCGGCTTGTTAATGTCTACAGAAAAACTACTCGAATTTTGAAGTTTTGTGTTGAACTTGTAGATCAAGTTGGGAAATATTGACATCTAAATAATATTAAGTGTGCCAGTCTATGAGCATGAATATTTTTTCATTCATTTTGGTCTTCTTCAATAGCGTTTTGTAGTTTTCAGAGTATAAATTTTGCACTTACTTTGCTAAATTTATTACTAAGTGTTTTCTATTTGATGCTATTTTAATTGAATTGTTTCCTTAATTTCATTTTCATATTGTTCATTGCAAGTGTATCGACATACAATTGTTTTTTTTGTGGATCAGTCTTATATTTTGCAATCTTGCTGAACTCATTTATTACTTCTAATAGTTTTTCTTTAGTGTGTTCTTTAGGATTTTTCTATACTCAAAATCTTGTCACCTGTGATATAATTTTTATCTCTTTTGCAATCTGGATGCCTTAAAAACATTTTTTTTTTTTGCCTTAATGTCTTGTTAGAAATTCCAATACAATTCTATATAATAAAAGGCTAATATGCAAATCAACTGAATGGCAAAAGAACCAATTGCTGTGATGCACACTGACCACCAGGAGGCAAACGCATAACACAGCTGTCCCCTGGTGGTCAGTGCACTCCTACAGGGGGAACATCACTCAGCTAGAATCTGGGCTCACGGCTGGCTATCCCAGGGGAGGTGATGGGAGCCTCCCTGCCTCTGCCACAGTGCTAAGGATGTTGGAATGATGGCTTAGGCCTGCACAGGGAGCCGGTGTATGCCATCAGTCGGACATCCCCCAAGGGTTCCCAGACTGCGAGAGGGCACAGGCCGGGCTGAGGGGCCCCTGCTACCCTGAGAGCATGAATTTGTGCCCCAGGCCTCTGGTGTTTAATAAAATGACAAGAATAGTTATCCTTCTCTTGTTTAGGAACCTTAAGGAGGAAAGCAATGTCTTTCATTGATAAGTATAATGCTACTGTAAGGTTTTCATGAATGCCTTTTATTAAGTTGTGGAAGTTGCCTTCCATCCTGGTTTTTAAAAAAACCTTCTTTTTAGATCACGGAAGGGTGTCACATTTTGTCAAGTGCCTTATCTGATTCTATTGAGATGATGATGTGGTTTTTGCCCTTTGTTTTATTGATAACGGTGTATTATATTAATTGCTTTTTGGATGTTAAACCAACCTTGCATTCCTGGGATAACTCACACTTGGTCATGTGTCTGGATTTTTTGTTTGTTTGTTTGTTTGTTTGTTTGAGGTTAAACCTTCTTTATTTTTCTCCCTCATTATATATCCGAATTCCACTCACTAGTGTTTTGTTGAGGATTTTTGTATTTATATTCATAAAAATTTTGATTTTTAAAAATCTATTTTGAAGAGGAACTTAGGGAATTACAAAAAGTATACAGCTGCTTCTGCCATATTTTGAAAATTCTCCATATTTGCTGTCAAAAAATCATCATTAAAATAGATTTGTGAGGGGAAAAAACTCACAAGGTATTTTTAATGCAAGCTTCTCTTCTTTTAAAAATATATTTTTATTGAATTTTAGGGAGAGAGAGGTAGAAACATTGATAAAAGGGAAACATTGATAGGCTGCCTCCTGCATATCCCCTCCTGTGGACCGAGAGAGAGATAGAAACATCCATGATGAGAGAGAATCATTGATTGGCTGCCTGCTGCATGCCCCCAACTGGGAATCGAGCCTGCAACCCGGGCATGTGCCCTTCACCAGAATCGAACCTGGTACTCTTCAGTCCACAGGTCGACGCTATGTCTGCTGAGCCAAACCAGCTAGGGCTAAGTAGTTAAATCTTTTCATATGTATAGGATATCTGCTTCAGTCTCATTTATAGCAGCTTATTGTTTGTCAATGTAAGGCCTGATGAATTTATTTTGATTCAGTCTTAGTTTAGTTTGCTTTGTAGAAGGAAAAAAAATACAATTTGGGAAAAATCATTCCCTCTGGCAAGATTTGTATCGCCTTTGCTACAAATGTTACCTTCTGTTTACAAGGTTCTTAACTGTGCTGGCTGTTGTTTGTTTGTTTGTTTGTTTTTTGCTTGTTAAGCAAATTCTGCCAAACAAAATAAGTGATGAAGCAATAACCAGGAAATAATAAGGCTTGAATTGAATTTGTTCACCTACTTAAAGAGCTCAGGGAAATCTCAGGAAATCAAATTAAACATTGGTTTAAATCAAATTCAATTGGTCAGAAATTTTCTTTATAAGGACAAGTTAGCTCTGAAATAGGTTTTCTAAATAATATCAAGAGGAAATAACTTCTTAGTTTATTTGTCTTTTATGTAGAGACAATGCATCCAGTAGGTACTTAAATGCCATAGTTTGACACACAACGTTAACCAGGGAATGCGAGTAAAAGGAAGAGAGTTTGTGGTGTGTGTGGTATTTCTAAAACCTGCACGTTCCTGCATGTGGTGAGCATGCACCTGACACAGTCCATCCCCACGTGGCCCAGTGAGGTCCATTTCCACCCTAGAACCTGGGAGCAGGGCTCTGGGTGTGAAAATCCACTTTTGGAAGAATTTCTTATGTAAATCTCAACACAAACCTCCCCCTCAGCCCATCTTCTTTAAAAAAAAAATTATCGTTGTTGGCTTTTTTGTGTTGTTTAAAAATAACAAACTCAACAGAGAAAATTGGGAAAATTCAATAAACCACGAACATTTTAGCCCCACCATGTCGAGGCGGCTATAGGCATTTTCCTTTACTTCTTATTTTATATTTTTGTGAATACTCTCCAGAGGATTTTCCCCCCCATTGAGAGTGGAAGGGAGGGGCAGGTGCAGAGATACCTACGTGAGGGAGACACATGGACTGGTGCCCCCTCCACTCACCTTGACTGGGGCCAGGGGTCCAGCCTGCAACTGAGGTGCCTGCCCTTGACCTCTTCACCTCTGACCTCTAACCACTGAGCCACACCCACTAGGGTCACTTTCCACTTTTTCACTCTTGTCCGCTCTTTCTCTGCAGGTGGTCGCAGCCCCACCTCAGCTGACCTGGTTTCTCCTGCGAGGTCACTCCGCCCGCTGGCTCCGCGGTGCCCACTTGAGTGAGCCACATCCTTGGGGGGGGGGGGGGACCTGGCCCTTTAAGAGCCAAGGGGGTGGTCCCCGGGGGGCGGTCCCCGCGCTGATTGGCGGAGCTGGAGCCACGTGGCGTCCAGCTCTCGGCCTTGGGGCCATCGGGTCGCTGGCGGGGCCGCCTCCCCCCCATGAGCGCGCGGAGGGGCCTGGCGGGCCTCGCCTTCTGCGCCTGCTTCCTGGCGGCCCACCTCACCAACAAGGTGAGCGCGAGGCCGGGCCGCCCGCCGCCGGCCCCTCCGGGCGGGATGGGGCGCCGCTGGGCGGCGAGGCCGGGCCTGCCCGCCGCCGGCCCCTCCGGGCGGGATGGGGCGCCGCTGGGCGGGCTCCTCAGGCCAGACTGGGGCACGCCCGCCCGGCGGGACTGCGGACCCTGCAGCGGTGTGGAGGGCGGGTTGGGCGCTCTCCGGGGAGAGGGGTGGCCCCAGCCCGGGAGGAGGAGGAGAACCGGGGACCCGCCGCCTGAGCCCTAAGCCCGCCCGGCGGAACCCGCCTCCCGGGCCTCTGGGAAGAGACATCCGCCCCGGCTCCCGCCTCGACCCCAGGCCAGTTTCTAAAGAGAGGGGCCGTCCCTGGTCCTTCCGGCGCGGCATTCTCTTCTAAAGGAAATGCCATTAGGCTGGAGTCCTGGCAGGACCCCTGTGGACGCAGAGGCAGGAAGGCGGTACCTTTTCTGTTTGTGGGCGGGGAACATGCAGGGAAGGGTGGCCCTGGGGCTCGGCCCCCCAATATAGGGCCTCTACTGCCCCCTCTGCACACCCCAAAGCCCCTCCTGCTCTCTGGAAAAGAACCATTAACCAGCAGCGTTTTCCTTTTCCATTGATTTCAGAGGGAGAGATGGGAACATCATTGATGAGAGAGCAGCCTCCTCTAATCATGATCGATCGGTGGCCTCCTGCACGCCCTGGGGCTGGAGCCGCAGCCAGGCATGTGCCCCAACCGGGAATGGAACCCTGACCTTTTGATTCCTAGGTCGATGTTCACCCACCAAGCCACACCAGCTGGGCTCGATGGATATACTGATGATGTTACACTTTAACACAGAATGACCTTCCTTTAATTTCTATGTAATCAGAAATATAGAAGGGACAGAGTAACAGGTCTTCACCATAGCCCACAAGTCACGGCCTTGGTTAAGTATCCAGCCTGCGGACAGTGTTTCGTTCGCTGACATTCAGACCCTCTGGATGTACTCCTGCGGTGGTGGCATTGTTTTTGTATTTATTGGGGCACCACAGCATTTTATTTTATTTTTTTCATCACAGCATTTTATAACTTATGTAATAAAGACCGAGTACCTTCTACACGTGCAGCGCCTCGAGGTGCTATGTAAAAGTAACCCAGATATTCGTGTCCCCAAGAATATCTACTCTGAGTACCGTGTTTCCCCGAAAATAAGACCTAGCGCAGCTTTGGGAGAAAAAATTAATATAAGACCCTGTCTTATTTTCGGGGAAACGGTAATAGCGACCAACCAGCCAGAGACAGCGCTCTGTGTTTCTCATGCTGGTCTGGTGCTTTGGGGAGTGTTGGGAGCTGGATGGAGAGTAGAAGAACAGCAGAAGGCAGAGGGGAGGCGAGACGCATAAAGAGGAGGGAGGAGGTGAAATCAAGAATGACGGAGATGCCCTGGCTGGTGTGGCTTAGTGATTGAGCATTGTCCCATGTAGGTCGTTGGTTTGATTCCCATCAGGCACATGCCCGGGTTACGGGCTCAATCCCCAGCAGGGTCATGCAGATGGCAGCCCATCGATGTTTCTCTTTCACATCTATGTTTCTCTCCCTTCCTCTCTAAAATCAATAAAAACATTCTTTTAAAAGAAGAGTTGTGCCGAAACCGGTTTGGCTCAACGGATAGAGTGTCGGACTGCGGACTGAAAGGTCCCGGGTTCGATTCCGGTCAAGGGCATGTACATTGGTTGTGGGCATGTCCCCAGTAGGGGGTGTGCAAGAGGCAGCTGATCGATGATTCTCTCTCATCGATGTTTCTAACTCTCTATCCCTCTCTCTTCCTCTCTGAAAAAAAAACCAAAACCAATAATATATATATATATATATATATATATATATTTTTTTTTTTTATTTTTTTTTTATTTTTTTTTTATTTTTTTTTTTTTAAAGAGTTGTGGTGAGCAGGTAGAGGTGGGAGAGATGGTTGGGACTTAGTAACGCTCAGGCAATGCTACTGTTTCTTCTCAGCCAGGGTGCTTCCCTGTGGCTGCCCAGGCGAGTGGGAAAGGGGTGGGCACCCCCTGGGCGTGTGCTTCTGCATCCAGTCTGTCAGAGGAATTCTCTTTAATAGTGAAGTCCTTCTGTGTGGACAGGAGAGGACCTTTTCTTCAGGTTTTTAGAACACTCTATGCTAATTACTTTGTTGTCATATTTTTCCGTAGTTTTCTTCTCAAACTGTTTCCCTCTCTGTTTGTCTAAAGGAAGTTCATTAAGAAAGTCTTGCCCGTTTCATTCCTTAGTCTCATTACTGTTAAAAGGGTGGTGAGCCCACCAGTTTGGCTCATTGTTTAGTGCTTTGGTCCATGAACTGAAGGGCGGCAGGTTTGACTCAAGGGCGTGTACCTCAGTTGCAGGCTCTATCCCAGGCCCTGGTCTAGGGTGTGTGCAGGAGGTAACCAGTCAGTATGTCTCTCACATCTGTGCTCCTCTATCTCTCTCTCTCTCTCTCTCTCTCTCTCTCTCTCTCTCTCTCTCTCTCTCTCTCCTCCCCCCCCCCTCCTCCTCCTCCTCCTCCTCCTTCTCCTTCTCCCTTCCACTCTGTCTAAAAATAAATGGAAAAAAATATCCTTGGGTGAGGATGAACAGAAAAATCCTATATAATAAAAGCCCAATATGCAAACTGACCCAACTGGAGAATGATGTGCACTGACCATGGGGTGGGGGGGTGGAGAGGTGGGGGGGGGCAGGTGCTCAACTCAGGGCTCTCCCGCCTCCACGGCAGTGCTAAGGAGCAGCAAGCTGAGCGGAAGGAGCAGTGAGCAGGCAAGTGGTAAGGAGCAAGGGGTCCCAGACATCCCCCGAGGGGCCTGGATGGCTAGAGGGCGCAGGCCAGGCTGAGGGACTCCCCCCCCCCCCGACCCCCCACCCTCATCACTGTGCACAGAATTTCGTGCATGAGGCCTCTAGTAAATAAATGGAAGTGTGGTTGATGTTTGTTCAGTTTGGACAGCAGGTGCTGTTGCTGCCTGGCCTGGCCGGCCTGGTGAGGGTGGCACACTCCGCCATCCTGCAGGAGGTCCAGCAATAGCCGGCCTGGGCCCAGGCAGCCACCTGTCCTTCCCCTCACAGGTGTTAGCCCTTCCGTCTGGAGGCAAAGTCCACATCCGTCCTCCTTGCAAAGGCCCCCAAATTGATCCTGTTCCCTTGAGAAGCTCTTACTACTCCTCTTCCAAATAGGCCTCTGTCTGAGCAACACTTTGCTGACAGGAGAGGCAGCCTTTGCTCAGAGATTTCCTTGTCTCCTCACTGTTCTTGCTGGAGGTGAAGTGGGAGCTGCAGCGTTCTCTGTCTCCCCCTGGATCGAGGACAAAGCCCAGCACACATTAAACTAAGCAAATATTTGTTATCTGCACGAGGGTTGTAAGGGAGATGCAGGATATGGCCCAGATATTCTCACAATCCTTTCTCTGTGTCTGTTTTAGAATGGAAATATCGGGAAAGTGGGAGGGGCATGGAATTTTGGGAGTAAATAGACAAGAGAAGAGTGAAGGTCATTCCTAATGAACAGTGCACAGGCGGGAGCCAGAATGATGACATTTAGGAACTCACACAGGCAGTTATATGCAGGCTGCTCCACGGGGACCGAACACCCTTCTCTTCCATTTTTCAGAGTGTGCGAGGAATCAGTAGCGTCCTTCCTAAAGCCCTTTAGTAGGATTAGGCTTTTTAATAATTCTTAAAATGTTTAATAGAAGAAGTAGCAAAAGATATCCATAAGGACACCTTTTGGTAAATGGTGTCCTTATGGATATCTTTCCATAAGGAAAGTTATGGAAAGATATCCATACCCATTCATAAAGTGCTATCAATCCGATTGAAAGACAATAGAAATATAAGGTGACCTTAGCTGAGCTGGTTTTTAAAAAACCGCTTAAACCCTTCTGAGTCCAGGAAGACCTGGCAGCCATCCCTGCATCAGACCCCGCTGCTGCCCCTTCGTCCCCATGAGGCGGTCAGGCTGCTGGGGACTGGGGAGGCAGGCAGGCCCGCTGTCTAGAGCAGGGCTTGGCAGGTGTTTCTGTTTTGTTGTGTTCTTGTCCTATGTGTGATTGTGGGGGGGGAGGGATGGGAATAATGAGTGTTCTTTGGTTTCTTTGCTAGAGATTTCTGGATTATGTGGTTTCTTTCAATTCTCTATCATTTGAAAACGCCCATTAACCTGGTATTTGTTTTTTCAGTACGTCCTGTCTGTCTTGAAATTCACCTGCCCTACATTGTTCCAAGGGTGAGTATTGCTATGCTCTTCATACACATTTGTATGAAATGTTCTATCAGGATCATCATCAAGTCTTCTTTAAAATATAAATTTAAAAGTATTTTTAATTAAATGTATTGCGCTGACCTTGGTTATTAAAATTATATAGTTTTCAAGCTCATGATTTTATAATACACTAGAGGCCTGGGGCACGAATTCATGCACAGGTGAGGTCCCTCTGGGTGGCCTGCAGGGACTGGGCTGAAACAGTCCAACACGCCTGCAGCTCCTGCCTGCCACTCCAACTCATCCCGGCCCCACGGTGCCTGCTCGTGCCCAATCAGTCCCAATCGGGAGACTCACCAGCCATGAGCCGTGCATCTGGCGCCCTCCCAAGGGGAGTGGCCTGCAGGATTGGGCTGAAACTGGCTGTCTGATATCCTCTGAGGAGTCCAAGAGGGTACAGGCCTGGCTGAGGGACCCCACCAGTGCACCATTGGGCCGGAGAGGGACCGTGGAAGGGCTCCAGAACGTGTCCAGCCCATCTTGCTCAGTCCTCATTAGCCAGACCCCAGCAGCAAGCTAACCTACCAGTCGGAGCATCTGCCCTCTGGTGGTCAGTGCACATCATAGTGAGCTGTTGGGCAACATTAGCATATCATTAGCATATTGCATTTTGGTTCTGCCATTCGGTCTATTTGCATATTACCCTTTTATTATATATGCATTGTGTGTTCACCATTCAAAGTCAAATCTCCTGTCACCAAGTACTGACCTTCTTTACCTTTTATCTTTAAAACATTTTTAATAACTGTATAGAATTTTCACCAAATAGATACACTGTAATTTATTTAACTATTCTATTAATGGTCATTTCATATGTGTCCCAGTTGCATGGTATAATACAGCAGAGTTATCAGACTTTTTTTTATATTTAACTTTGCCAAATTTCCAATTATTTTGTTGGCATAGTTTCATACCTACAATTAGAAATTTGGGTTAAAGAATATGAACATCGTTAGTATTTTTTTTGAGTGTTAACAAAATCTTTTCCAAAAATGGTTTACCAATTTATATCATCAGCAGGCTGTACATGAAAGTTTTTGTATTATTATACTAGAACCATGACTATTTTTTTCTTCTTTTCTGATTTCATGAGCCAAAATTGGTATCACATTGTTTTATCATTTCTTAAATTATTCATCAAGTTGGACAGTTTTCTTACATTTATTACTCATCTTTTTTTCCCCCAGTGAATTGTCTATATTTGCCGTTTACATTTTTATTTTTACAAGGGATTTTTAAATTTTTCTTAGCGGTTTAATGAAACCCTCATATTTTAAGGATGCCGACCACTTGTCCATTATGTTTATTGGATTTATTTATTTTTATTTTATTTTATTTAAAAAATATATTTTATTGATTTTTTACAGAAAGGAAGGGAGAGGGATAGAGAGGTAGAAATATCAATGAGAGAAAAACATTGACCAGCAGCCTCTTGCACACCCCCTACAGGGGATGTCCCTGCAACCAATGTACATGCCCTTGACCAGAATCGAACCTGGGACCCTTCAGTCTGCAGACGGATGCTCTATCCACTAAGCCAAACTGGTTTCGGCTGGATTTTTTTATTTTTATTTTTATTTTTGCAATTTTATTTTGTTTTCTGCCTTTTTATTTTGGTGAACAGAACAATGAACAACCAACCGACCCACCCGGGTAGGCCTACCATTTATTATGTTTTATTTATAACTCTTTCTTTGCCTTTGGGAGAGAGAGAAAAACATTGATCAGTGCCCTCCCCCCATGTGCCCCAACCAGGGATCGAACCCCCAACCTAGGCATATGCCCTGACCAGGAATTGAACTGGTGACCTTTTGGTGCAAGGGATGGTGCTCAACCACTGCACCCGCTTCCAGGGCTGAGATTATTTTCTTGGGGTTTATTTTTAAGTCTTATCTTGGCAATACATTTCCTTTTCTTAGCTTTTCCAGTTACAGTTGACATAAAATATTTGTTCAGGTGTACAAATATAGTGAATAGACGTAACTTATGAATCAATCACCCTGATAAACCTAATACAGGGTATATTACTGAGTGCTTCTTTGTTAACTTTTATGGGAAAGGGCTACGCTAAATTGTTTTAGTTATTTTAGCATTTAGATATGTGGTAGAGCCCTTCATCATTATTCTTCTTTTTTTGTGTTACACAAATGCAAATAAAAAAGCAAGGCTCGCCGAAACCTGTTTGGCTCAGTGGATAGAGCACATGTGTCAAACACAAGGCCCGCGGGCCAAATCCGTCCCGCCAGGCCTTGCAATGTGGCCTGCACTGCACTGTCATCACTGTACTCCGCTGCGTTTCCATCACAATGACAGTTTATGACTGTTCAGTATACCATTCGGCCCGCGATTTAGGCTGGATTTTAGATTTTGGCCCCTTCTCTCATTGAGTTTGACACCCCTAGGATAGAGCATCGGCCTGTGGACTGAAGAGTCCCAGATTCGATTCCGGTCAAGGGCATGTACATTGGTTGTGGGCATATCCCCTGTAGGGGGTTGACTGGACCGGCAGGGGAGGACAGTTGGGGGTCACCAGGCCAGCAAGGGAGGGCAGTTGGGGGTGATTGGGTTGGCAGGGGAGCAGTTAGACATTTATCAGGCTGTCAAGGGAGAGTGATTAGGGGGTGATCAGGCTGGCAGGCAGGCGAGTGGTTGGGAGCCAGCAGTCCCAGATTGTGAGCGTCAGCCCCCTGGTGATCAGTGTGCATCATAGCGACTGGTTGTAATGGTTGCTTAAGCTTTTATTTATATAGATTTTTACTGATTTCAGAGAGCAAGGGAGAGGGAGAGAGACATAACACATCAATGATGAGAGTGAATCATTGATTGGCTATTCCCACACACCCCCTACTGGGGATTGAGTCTGAAACCCCAGGCCTGTGCTCTGACCTGGAATTGAACCTGTGACCTCCTGGTTTGTAGGTCGACACTCAACCATGGAATCACAGCAGCTGGGCTTGACCATTTTTAAAGCAAGCGAGTAGCATGTTGAAGTTTGCATTGCAGAGTAAATCCTTTGGCTTCAAGGGAGAGACTGGATGGGGCCCACAGCCCTGGACGGGAGACTGGTGCTGGGGTTCAGGTGGGAGGCCGTGAGAGTCTGAGGAGGCAGAGGCGTAAGGATGGAAGGAGGGCTTCTGACGTGGGAACTGTTATGAGGACAAATCAGTAGGATTTTGCAAGTAAATGAGGGAGGTGAGGATGGAGGAAGGGCTAGGACGGCATCTAGCCTTCTGGTTCGCTGATTAGGGGGAGTGGGAAGGTGGCCAGGTGAAGGTGGGAGTGCAGGGAGTGTTTTGGACGTGTTGTACGTGGGAGCTTGTGGGTTTGGGGTGAGAAGGCGCCTGGGAATCGTCAGTGCAGAGGAATGGGGACGCAGGTAGCTGTGGGGAGTTGTAGGGCAGGTCTAGGAAGGAGAGCCCAGGGTCAGCTCGTGGGTTCCAGGGAATAAGTGGAAGCTGGGAAGGATGTGAGCATTGGAGTGGTAATCGGAGAGACAGGGAGGGGAAGGCCAGAAGGGTGGATGTGTGTATTTGTGTCAACAGATCTTCCTTTCGGGGCGATAGCTTTTGAGACCGGTAGGTTAAATTCAGACTGGGAAAATATAAATAAAAAATTTAAAAATTCAAATGACCCTTATTCCTTTCAGGTGGCAGACGTTAGTTGGTGGACTTTTGCTTCATGTGTCATGGAGACTGGGCTGGGTGGAGATCAACAGCAGTTCCAGGTAGAACCTTGAGTATGCTTCCTGACTCATACATGCTTCCTCTTTCTGTAATCTCTTTCGGCTTTGTATTGGGAAACACGGATGTTTATTTGAGTTATTTGGTCTCTTAGTTCCCTTCTACCTTTAAGGAGCCATGATTTTATAATCAAATAGAACTCAAGTAGGTTTTTCTGGTTAGTAATGCCACTAATATGGTATTAAAGTTAATTGAGATATATAGTGTATCATACCATATTAATTTAACTTTGTTTTAGATCAGAAGACCATTATGAGTGAGTTTGTAAATAATCTTTTAAACATGTTTAGTAGATGTTGAAATTATTTTCTTATAGAAGAATTAGAAGTAATATAAAGAACTTCTACTCTCCTTACTCAGATTCCCTCCCAGGTGGGAGAGAAGCCCCACCCTTAGTTTTGTACTGAGTGTCGTTGTGGAGAGCTGTAACAAATGTCTTCCATGAAACTCCCGAAGGTACTCAGTTCTGTCCCTAAAGAAATGAACAGAGAGACAATCAGCTAAGGTCCAGACTGTACTTTCTTTTAATGATGATGATTTCTCTATTTTATTTAATTCCAGAGAGAGGAAAGGAGAGGGAGAGAGAGAGAGAAACATCAATGATGAGAGAGATCACAGATGGGCTGCTTCCTGCACGCCCCCTACTGGGGACCGAGCCAGCACCCCGAGTGTGTGCCCTGACCGGGAATCCAACTGTGAGACTCCCAGGCCAGTGAAATGGGAAATGGGGAGAAGTGATGGTTATGAAAGTGCCCTGAAAAATTAAACTTTACCAAAAAGATGGCCGCGGTCCGGTCTGTCTAGCCAGGGATCCTGCTGTGTGGGAAGCCTCGGCCGCCAGCTCGTAGGTTCTGGAGGCGGGGACCAGGTGGCCTTCCTGTAGACCAGGAGCCAGCGACAAAGACAGACTAGGACGTTAGGCTTTGTGGGCGCACGTCTGTCACAGCTGCTCCTCTGCCTCTGCAGGGATGCCGCCGCAGACGGACTTGAGCAGACGGGCGTGGTCGTGTGCTCACAACACACTTTTGCAGAGCGAGGCAGCAGGCGGGTCTGGCCCACAGGCCGTTGTCATCTGTGACAGGGAGGGTCATCACCGCGCTCTTGGATCAAGTAGTATCGGGCTTGATCTCTGTCAGGGGCACGTGTCCTTCTGTGAGTCAGAGGAAGGGGAAAGAGGGAGGAGAAAGGCCTAAGAAAAGGAGGAGGGAGGAGAAGAGAGAATAAGACGCTTTAGGGACCATATTCACTAGTAATGGACCCCCCAAAAATGGAATCTAGGGGCCTTCTGTAAGTATTGAGCCAATATAGCTGGAAGTCCTGTAACCTGTGAAACAAAGGGTGGCTTGACAGCTGTTAGGCATTCCGACAGTCGCCACGTGACCTTGGTGTCTTGGCCACTAGCTATTCTCACGTGTGGAAACGGTTTCTCTGTCCACCAGGTGTCAGTGTAACAAGAGGTTTTCCAAGAATTCAGCCGAAAGGGCCCTTTAGGCATTCAGACAGACAGACTGAGTGTTCCAGGAGCAGGTACACCCTCAGTCATGTGTGCTCTGTCTGAGAAACAAGTGCTTTAGTTTAATCAGCCTTCATCTCAGTAACAAGTTTGATCCTTCAGGCCAGCATTTCACATGCTGCTTGTAAATGCTTTCTTCTCCAGGGTGCACACACAAAGCAGACCCACAACTCCAGCAAGGTGCAGCATTTGTGCTTATAAATCCTGTGAGAACAATTGGGTAGCACCAAGATTTTCAAACCAGATCCAGTGGCATCTGGTCCTTCAACAGGGACTGCACTCTGCAATTGTACCATCTAATCTTTACCCCCAGGAGTCGCTGTGAGCTCACTTCCTTTGCACACACATGCACACATTCATACCTATACGTATACACACAGACACACATACATATACTTACATACAGACATAGACATGGACAAACACACACACACACACACCTATTCACTTCCTTTACACATGCACACATATATACATACACTTACAGACACACACACAGATATAGACACACACACACACACACACACACCTACTCACTAGCTTGGCCTCTCCCTGGTGGCTCATGGACACAGGGAGCCAGGACCCCAGGATTTAATGTCCTCTGGCCTCCTTTGTTGTCATGGAGACAGTGGAAGACACACCAGCACAGGAGGTCCGGATGGTGCCACCGTGGGAATGAAAGTTGGAGAAAGAAAGATGCATTAATAAATAGGATGTGCTCGTTTGTCCCCACGGTGCAGGCCACGGCTCTCTTAGAACTCTGCCTGCCAGAGCTGTAAAGGAGGTGTAGTCGTCAGGGCAGCTGCCATAACAAACACCACCGAGCCACACCAGCCGGGAGACGTAACATTTTAATGCTCTGCTCCCTGGGAAGTTGGACAAAGGCAGGTCTGACCAGGGAGGGGTGCTGCTCATGCTGCTGAAGTCAACAAGGATCACTTTGTGCGGGCACCATCCGGAGAGCAGGCCATTGGTTAGTTGGGATTATCATGGTATGTCCTGCTCATGGCTTCATGTACTTGGACCTGTTATTGGAATAACTCAGATTTGCATTTGAGGCCTGAATGCATTTGTCACTGATGGGGCCGCAAGCTGCAGCCTTAGTGAGATGCATCCATATAAACTGGATTTTGCTTTTCTGGGGAAAGCGATATGCTAAAGGTTCTTGAAAAAGCAGGTCTTGGTGTGGCCACGGCTGAAGCAGGTCCTCTGGACTCTGGAGCTGGCCCTCGGGGCTCATGGTCGGAGAAGCTGACACGTGGCCCCCAGCTCTGGCTCCATCTCTGCTGCATTTGCCCGTTCTGTCCTTGGACACTGTGGGTCCTTTGGTTGTGGTTCCATGGAGCTGTTCGGTGTATTGCCTTTAAAATTTTTAATAATATGGCTTAAGTTCAAAAATCCTGGCTGCTTAAGATCCAAAGAGTAATGTTCACTGCGCCCTTAAAAATTAGATTTGTTCTCCCTCCCAGCCTGCAGGAGGTTTTTCCACGTCCGGCTCTCCTGTGGGACTCCTGCCAGTAGGTAGGTGGCCGAGTGGCCTCCATTGCTCAGAAATACCATGTCACACTGCTCGACTCCTCCAGGGGCCTGTAATAGCTGCTGCCACTGCATCTGGGGCACCTGAGGTCATTCCTTCCAACGAAGGCTTTTGGACATAAAGAGACAGAAGTATTATGGGCCTTTTTTTTTCTTTCTAGGTACAATGTCTTGGCGTGGCTTCCTGCTTCGGTGCTGTTTGTGGGTATAATATACGCTGGTTCCAGAGCATTATCCAGACTGGTGAGTGTTGGAGGTTTCGGGGGACAGCCCTTTTCTCTCCTGTCCCCCTGCCTGATAGCTTACCGCATCCGATGAGTGGAACAAAGTAGTCGCTTTGGTAAGGGTACAGCTGAGTGGAGAGCAAGCCCTAGACCTGAGGCAGCAGTAATTTATAAATTAAATCAGCATTTTTCTTTCACGATTTATAAGCCTGAGTGGATGGGATGCTGTGTGCCATGGGGGAGAGACGTCCTGGTTGGGCTAAGAGATGGCCCGCAGTGCCAGTCAGTACTCAGCCAGACCCGAGCTGCGCTGGCCGTGCGGCTCTGCTGGGTGCTGTGCCCTCGGCTTGTCTGCTGCCTCCCTCGCAGCCCATGGCCTGTGGCTTCCTCTCCTCTGCAGATAGAGCACTGGGTAAGAAAGGTGTTGTCCAGAGGTTTTAACATTTTGTAGGATCTGGGGAGTTACTGAGGCCAGAATTTTGAAGTTTGAATAACAAAGGTGTCGTACTAATAAATTTTAGTCGTACTAATAAAATATTTGTTGTACAGTGCTTTTTCACATGTTTCTAGAGTGATTTTTTCCTGTATGTTTGTATGTGTTTCTCATAGTCACCTGATAGGTGATGGGTGAGGCAGAGGGTCACCCCCTGGCAGAAGAAGGAACTCAAGTGTTTCAAGTCTTGGTTTTCTGCCTCTGGTTCCAGACCAGAGGACAGTGGTCTGAAGAGTGGTCCAGACATTGGTCCAGACAGTGGTCCAGATAGTGGTCCGGACAGTGGTCTGGACAGTGGTCCGGACAGTGGTCTAAACAGTGGTCCAGACAGTGGTCCGGACAGTGGTCTAGAGAGTGGTCCAGACAGTGATCTGGACAGTGGTCTGGACAGTGGTCCGGACAGTGGTCCAAACAGTGGTCCGGACAGTGGTCTGGACAGTGGTCTAGACAGTGGTCCGGACAGTGGTCTGGACAGTGGTCCGGACAGTGGTCTAGAGAGTGGTCCAGACAGTGGTCCAGACAGTGATCCGGACAGTGGTCTGGACAGTGGTCCGGACAGTGATCTGGACAGTGGTCTGGACAGTGGTCCGGACAGTGGTCCAAACAGTGGTCCAGACAGTGATCTGGACAGTGGTCTGGACAGTGGTCTAGACAGTGGTCCAGACAGTGGTCTAGACAGTGGTCTAGACAGTGGTCTGGACAGTGGTCTAGACTAGGGGTGTCGAACTCAATCAGAGAAGGGGCCAAAATCTAAAATCCAGCCTAAATCACAGGCCGAATGGTTTACTGAACAGTCATAAACTGTCATTGTGATGGAAACGCAGCAGAGTGCAGTGATGACAGCGCGGTGCGGGCCACATTGGAAGGCCTGGCGGGATGGATTTGGCCCGCGGGCCTTGTGTTTGACACGTGGTCTAGACAGTGGTCCAGACAGTGGTCTAGACAGTGGCAGCTTCTCTGGCCTTTCGCCTTTCCAGACTGGCCCTTTAGGACCCGTGCATTCGCACTGGGAGCAGGCCAGCCCACCTTGTCGGTCCACTTAGTCACGGATGTGTCTGCTGTACCTGCACAGTGGTGACATAGCAGATGCTTAGTAACTGTGTGCTGATGGAGTAGCGTGGGAAGGTGCCTCTGTAGCCACCTCCCCTAGCATAGGACTCCGACCCAGAGCACCAGTCCATGCAGGAGGGGTGTTGCTGGAGATGATTATGCTATTACATGTGACCACATGGAGGCTGCCATGTTGTGTGAGGGCGTGACAGTCAATTTGCATTACCTCTTTATTAGGATATGTGAATGCCAAATGTTCCCACGGGTCTTTATTTTTAAGCAGAAATCAAGAATTATGTAATTATGAGATCACAGAAAATATTTTCATGCTTCTTATTCTGTTTCCTTTCAGGCCATTCCTATGTTTCTCACTTTGCATAATGCAGCTGAAGTCATCGTCTGTGGGCACGGGATGTGTTTCCGGAAAGAGGTAAATGATAATGCATGATGCCAGTCTCACATCCCTCACTTTAAATTTCAGAGACACGCCTTTTTTTTTATGGCAGAAATTATTGTCTACCTTCTCCGGATATCTTGCCAGTCAGGACTGTCAGACAGGGGTTAGTACTTTTGAGGACCATGGTTTTGAGATCCGTTAGTCCACCAAGCGTACGTGGGAGTGCGTGTTGACCCCATGGGACTCCAGGCCAAGCCTGAGCCAGGGCCTCGGGATGCCAGGAGGGATCCCCGGTGGGCCTGGTGGGTCCCCTCCTAGCGCCTCCCAGCGCCTCCCAGCACCACATGGACGCCCCTGTCCAAGCTTTTTGTAGGGCATTGGGGCGTTGCCCACTGTTCACCCCGGGGACAGACATTCCTTTCCCTTCCTAGTGCCAGCTCAGCCTCAAACCAGCAAGGACATGCTTCTTCACCTCTATGCCTTCGTCTTGAAGGGGCAGTGACTTCACCCAGCTCATAGCGCTGGCGGAAGGGCGCAGTGCAGCACACATCAGTGCTTCCCATGGTGTCTGGCGCATAGTAGGTGCTCTGTATGTTAGCTGTATTGATTGACATTATTAGTGGTGGTTTTATCTTGGTCCCTCTTCCAGCAGTTACTTTTTCCCCAACATTTTCCCTTTTAAAATGATTCCATATCTAAATTTTGGAACTGTTGCCAAGATCGATTTGGCTCAATGGATAGAGCGTCGGCTTGGGGACTGAAGGGTCCCGGGTTCGATTCCGGTCAAGGGCATGTGCCTTGGTTGCGGGCATGTCCCCATTGGGGGGTGTGCAGGAGGCAGCTGATCGATGACTCTCTCTCATCGATGTTTCTAACTCTATCTCTCTCCCATTCTCTCTGTACAAAAATCAATAAAACATATTTAAAAAAAAAAAAAATTTTGGAACTGTTAAGAGAGGCTGGTGAGCCATTCAGGCAGCACACTTCTTATAGGTGGGCAGGAGAGAGGAGTCCCTCCCGTGGCCAAGGCCACTGCGCACTCTTGCGCCCTGTCATGCTTGCCTGCAGCTCCTGGGTTACCTGCCCTCCTCCCCCTTCTAGTTACCCTCCTGCTCTGCTGGCTGTTCCCTCGGCCCATGACACGCTCAGTGCTCTCAGGGGTGCATCATGTCGTGGGAAACCCCCTCAAAAACTGTGCTTATTTGTTTTTAAGTTTATCTTTATTGTTGAAAGTATTACAGATGTCCCTTCCCCCCATTGACTCTACCCCACGCCCATCCCCCACTCCCCATCCTGGGCCTTCACTGCATACTGTCTATGTCCATAGTTAAGCATTTCGATATATATAAAAGGCTAAGGGACCATCCAACTGTCTGACTGGTAGCTATGACGTGCACTGACCACCAGGGGGCAGATGTTCAATGCAGGAGCTGCCCCCTGGTGGTCAGTGTGCTCCCACAGTGGGAGTGCTGCTTGGCTGACCAGAATGAGTGGCTGTTCCTGCTGCAGGCTGATCCCAGCAGGCCACACTCCCCACTGGGGCACTAGTATACATGTAAGTTCTTTGGTTAATCTCTCCCCATCCACCCTCCCCACCTTCCCTCTGAGATTCTGCACTCTGTTCCATGCTTCTGCGTCTCTGGATCTGTTTTGTTCATCAGTTTATTTTGTTCATTAGATTTCGTGTAGGAGTGAGGTCATGGATACTTGTCTTTCTCTGACTGGCTTATTTTGCTCTGCATAATATTGTCCAGACCCCTCCAAGCTGTCTCAAAGGGTAAGAGACCCTTCTTTTTTAAAGCTGCGTAATATTTCATGGTGTAGATACACCACACCTTTTTTATAAACTGTGTGTGTAAAACCAAAACTGGACAGGAAAGCCAGCACACTGCTGTGCCCATGAGCACCCCCCACCTCTACTCTTCTCGTCCTGGCCCTTGCCCACACCGAGTCCATGCTATCCACATCCTCCCGTCGCTCTCACCTCCCATATTTCCTGCTTCCGCCCCCACCATTCCCTGCAATTGCTCTGGCGAAGCCCCTGATGCTTCATGTTTGTGATGCTGTTGGTCTTTTGCACCTTCCACCACCTCATACCCTGCTCTCAGCTCTCAGCTCACATGACCTCCTTCCCCTCCCTGCTGGCCTCTTCCCAAGTCTCTGGCTCTTCATAGCTGCCCGTCTTTCTTCCTTTGTCTGCCCTCCAGGGCCTCTTAGGAAGCCTCGGAAACCAGACACAGATTGTCCACAGATTGTCTGGACAACCTCCTCCCCCGTGGCACCAGCTGCCTTCAGTTCCTGGTGACCCCAAGTCCCTGCCTCCAAACCAGCGCTGCCTCTTCAGCTCAGCCCTGGGCTTGTGGGTGTTTCCTGGCAGCTGAGCTGCCACGGGTCCAAATGGAACTGGTGTGTTTCCTCAGACTCGCTACTCACTGGGCTCTCCCAGCCTGATCACGTCTCCCCAGCCAGAACCAGCACGTGAGGCTGAGGCCTGAAAGGGCTATGGGGCTGGGGAGAGGTGGGGGGGGGGGGTGGAGAGACAGGCCTGGCCGGTGGGCTGTAGCCAAGCAGGGTCATATATATAAAGGGTCAGGCTGTGGCACTAGGTTGTGTGTCTCAAGCCCTTTTCTTAGTTTTCGGGGCTTCAGTGTCCTCACTTGTAGCCCATAGCACAAGACCCTAATTAACTGGGACACAGTGAGGACTGGCAGAAGATAGCAGCGGCCAGAGCGAGGAGCATGGCAGGCAGTCAGCTGACCCAGCCACACGAGGCTCGTGTGTGACGCTGACAGTGACTGGGAGGCTGGTGCTAACCCGGTCTGAGCCCTGGGTCAGCACCGACTTATCCTGGCTGACACCCCGACCGTGTTTGCTCCTGGGGCCTTGGGGATGGGGCTCTGTCTCAGGTGGAGCTCCTTTAGTCTGAGTTGTAAAATGAAAAAGGACGCCCGGCTGGCGTGGCTCAGGGATGGAGCATCAGCCCATGAACTGGAGGTCAAGGTTGGATTTCCTGTCAGGGCACAGGCCCGGGCTGTGGGCTCGATGCCTAGTCGGGGGCGTGTAGGAGGCCGGCAGTCAAGGATTCTCTCTTATCGTAGATGTTTCCTTCTCTCCCTCTCCCTTCCTCTCTGATATCAATAAAAACATATTTTTAAAAAATAGAAAAGTACTCCTCTGTGGAATGGTGTGCTCGCTCAGGCACGGACTGGAGTGCTACCTGTAACGAAGCCCCCAGACAGTGGGGTGAGCATGTCCCTCAGGAGAGCTGTGCTGCCCCCTGTCCCTGCACCTCCACCGTCCTGAGATGTTGATTATATTTAGCTCAGAGTCTGTTAGGGACACGTTTTCCCCGTCCTGGGACGCTTATCCAGTTGTCAGGAGCAGTCACCTGTGCTGGTTTATCCTTTCTGTACTGAAGGGCTAGGTGTCGCCACCAGGGGGCAGTGGAGGCAAGGTTAGCCTGTCCCCTGCGCTGCTGAGGCAGGGCCTCTGGAGGTGAGGAGAGAAGACTGCACTGAAACACGCGGCTGGGCTATTCAATGATGTGGGAGACTTTGGCCTCCTCATAGCAAACCAGGCATCCTCTGGTCAGTGCTCTTTTAACCAGTGTGGTTACACCTCACACTTGATCCCGATTCAGAAAGTTATGTTAGGCCTGGGCAGTGTGGCTCAGGGGCTGAGCATCGACCTATGAACCAGGAGGTCAGGGCTTGATTCCCAGTCAGGGCACAGGCCTGGCTTGCAGGCTCAACCCCCAGTGGGGGATGTGCAGGAGGCAGCCTATCCATGGTTCTCCCTCATCATCAATGTTCCTATTTCTCTTCCCCTCTCCCCTCCTCTCTGAAATCAATAAAAATAAAAATTTAAAAAGTATAGTTTGTCCTCAGCCAGCAACATAACCCCTCTGAAATGTTCAGGATTCGCCTGTTCTACTCGGTTGTTTCCCCTGGAAGCACTGAGCAGTCTGTGCTCCTCCCTGCAGCCTTTTTCCCTGAGTCAGAGACCAGCCCCAAACCCACACAGACAGGAGGCGGTCAGGGAGCGTCCGCATCAGGACGTCTTCATTTCCCTGAGCGCTGAGCTCCAAGTTGAGATTTCTGCTCTTATTTTTCCTTCTCGGTAAGGGTGGAGTCCAATGTCCCTTCTTTTTTTCTGTTTCTTAATTTACACGTCATGCCAGAGAATTTTTAGCACCGCCAAGAGTCAGAGCTGGATTGATGGAAGGAAAATTAAAGAGATGGCTGGACTGGGAATCGGACACAGGCTTCAGTCCTTTATCATAGTCACATGGGTCTCTCCCACCCTCCTGTGGGGCATGGGGCGGGAGGTTTGGCCGTATCTTGCCGCTCTCTCACATGGGGCATCTGTGGACAGGGCTGGGGGTGGGGGAGGATGGGTGGCCGGGATGGGGAACACTGCACCCACAGGCGCTTTGCCGAGGTGACAGCCTGAGCGCTGAGTCATCCTTCCTCGGGCCCAGCAGTGAGGCCTCAGCACCACTCTGCAGCTGCTGCTCGGCCCCAGCACACTTGATCATCACGTTTTCTTTTAAGGAAAAGGGTTTTGAAGACTAATTATAAATCTCTGTTTTCATGCAGAAAACGCCTCCTGCCAAGATCTGTAGGTAAGTTTAACACACACACACAAACCCACAAACCTGTAAAATACAAGATTTAACCTGGTTTTTAACTTCGATGGTAACACTGTTTGTGGAAGATTCATACTTGAGAGTTGACAGAGGAATTTGTCATAAATACTCATGTATCCCTGTTTTGTGTCTTACTCTGAAATTCACTTCCTCTTTTTCTGGAATATTTTATTCCTGCGGCAAAAACAACCCTGCTCGGTTTCAGTCGCTGATGCCCAGAACTTCACAGATTGTGCAATACCGATGGGGAGTGAAATGGAAAACATGGGATGGCTCAAACATGTGAAAACAGCGATCAGTTTGTGGGGTTTGAAAGCATTCCCAGTGAGAAAACACTGGCCTGCAAGTCGGATCTGCACCGTGAGCCTGGGCAGGTGCCATCCCACCCCTCCTCCGTGCCTCAGTTTCCCCAGCAGGACACTCAGACAGGCCCCTGCCCAGGGCGCTGATTCTGACCTGGACGACTAGTGCAGGAGTTCTGTGCTGGGCTAGAAACCCAGCGAGAGGCTTGTTGTTCCCAGCACTTCTGGACTTCCATTCAGTCCCTATTTTTTACTTTATTACAGGCTGCTACTTGGGAAAAAAAGAAACATCAGGACTCATCCTCTTGTTTAAGGAATTAGCAAGTGCTGCCCTAGCAGGTGTGGCTCAGTGAATAGAGTGTTGGCCTGTGGACTGAAGGGTCCTGGGTTCGATTTCAGTCAAGGGCACATGCTTGGGTTGCAGGCTTTATCCCCAGTGGGCGACATGCAGGAAGCAGCCAATCAATGATTCTCTCTCATCGATGTTTCTGTCTCTTCTCCCTCCTCTCTGAAGTCAATAAAACATATTTTTTTAAAAAGGTTAGCAGGTGCCCACCAGGCATGGGAGCCCACCCCCACTGAGGCGGTTAGGCACTGCCAGGGCCGCAGTTGGTGGGAAACTAGGGCTGTCTCCCTCCCCTCAGCCCGGGGGTCATCAGCTCGAGGGGACCCTCCTGCTCATGGCCTGGGATGAGGGGGGCCCCTGTGTTCTGGAGAGCCTTCATCCGAAGGTAGACCCCAGACTCATCAGGGGCCTCCTCCCCCCAGCTGAACCCTTCCCGTCCCGGGCAGCCCAGCAAAGCCTCCCGACAGCTTCCCTCCACCCAGCCCTTTGCCTCTGAGCCTGGGCAGTCTGTGCCTTGGAGTCCTCTATATGTGTGTGAGCTGGAAGGGCTGGAGAGGAGAGCCTTTCTGAGCCTCAGGATGACCAATGTTGTCTGACCTTCTCAAGGTCTTGTTGCCCCCACTCTCTGAAATCCCTCCATACCAATCCCCAGGCCTTTGGCCCAGGGCCCGGGATCTATGCTGCAACCGAGGTATGTGCCCTTTACCAGAATCAAACCTGGGACCTATCCGTCCTATGGCTGACGCTCTAACCATTGAGCTAAACCAGTCAGGGCTAAACTGCAATTATTAAACTTAGGAAATACGTATCTTGTACAATCCTGTTCCCTCACGTGGAGTCCATGTCCACACTTGGCCGTCTGTCCCGATGTGGTCTTTCATGGTCATCTCCCCCGAGGTGGTGTGTCTGTGTGCTCTCCACTCTGGACGAACCGGTTCCTCTGCTTCTGTGGTCTTTTACTGCCTTCGCAGTGTGCTCGTGTGCAAGTGTATGTGTGCGTGTGTGTGTGTGTGTGTGTGTGTGCGCGCGCGCGCGCGCGCATGCACGCATGTTAAAATTTTTAATTAAGTTTTTGGGGTGACATTGGTCAACATGAACATAGAGGTTTCAGGGTGGGCTTCTGTTCACGAGATCTCTGTATTGCACCTTGTGCCCAGCACCCCACGTCAGATCTCCTATCCCATCTGAGCCGTCACATTTTTGAAGAGGGGAAGCCCAGTTTTGTGCATTGTCCCTAAATTTGAGTTTGTCTCAAATGTTAGTTTTGATTTTGCAAATGTCCTGCCAAGGCCCATCTCGGGGAGACGGCTGCACTCAGTTGGAAACTGCAGAAGTCATGGGCTCTCTGAGAGTAGACAGGGCCGGGCTCGGTCTCGCAGGACTGTGGCCTCCACCGAGCTCCGTCTGTGTATCCCAGCCCCACGCTTTCGAGGATTCGTGTATGCTGGGCCCTGAAGCTGCTTGTCTTTCTTCTCTCCACAGCGCCCTCTTGCTGCTGGCCGCCGCGGGGAGCCTCCCCTTCAATGACGCCCAGGTAAGCTCAGTCGGCGTGTTTTCCCTGAAGGCCTTTTCCTATGGAGCCTGCTAATGGGAGCAGAGTTCCCCAGTCCTTCTTTTTGGGTCGGCACAAGCCTGACCTGCCTAGGCATTGAGTCTTTCAGGCCGGGTGCCTGCTGGCCAAGCCAACGTGCTCCCTTGGGGCCCCACCTTCCACCCGAGGCTGCGCAGTGTGGCCAGAGCTCTGGCCTCTGGTGCCGCAGTGGGTGCTGTGATTGGCGTAGTCCGCCTCCATAGGTTCTCGGAGAGCCTGCAGCCAGCGCCCGAGCTGCCCAAGCCTCGCACCCTGGGCGCAGCTGCCCTCTCTCCCCAAGGCCCCCTCTGCAGAAGGACTTTCATTGCCCCCTATTTCTTTCTGTGGCTGAGAGCCACCCCACTCCAGTCATCCTCCCACTGCCTGCTGGGACTGCTCTCCAAGCCGGGACTCTGGGACACAAAGAGGTGTAGACAGGCAGAGTCTCGTCAGAGCAAAGGAGAGGAGGGCAGACGGTTGAGAGAATTCCTTGGACAGCAGGGTGGCCAGCACTGTGCTGTGCCTGCGGCATAGGATGTGTGAGCACCTGAGAGACCGGGGACACGGGGACGGAAGCTAGCGATTCCAGAGCCTGCTGTGCTCTGGGCTCAGGCCAGTGCTTCCTGTGCCCATTGAAGACCGCCAAGTCCACAGGGGTCGCTGGTGTCTCCGTGTCATAGCCAGAGACTGAGGCGGCCCATGAGGCCACCAGCTGACGATGGAATGAGTTTTTAGAGTTTAACCCAGTTCTTTCTGATGCTGGCCACTCCCTGCTTCTGGACCTAATCCTGAAGAGGGAAGTGATTGGCCAGGAGCAGCAGGGTTGGGCCCCGCCCTGGGGTGCCCTCTAACCATGCTGAGACTTAACTCCACTGAGCACCCACTACACACATGTGTGCTTCCAGGCTGATCACTGGCTCCTGGAATTTATGTTCAGGTGCAGGAGACGACCGAGACAGGGAATCTGTGGAATGAGCAGCTCTGTGGAGATGGGAAGGAGAGGGGAGGAGGGCTGAGCCGGAGGGAGCATTGGGGCTGGGGAGGGAGAGTTCCCTTTCTCTTTAGAGGGGCCGTGGGTGTGCTGGAGGGGGCAGGGGATTGTCGCGATGCCAGGTGCCCTGAGTTTGGCGTTTACCCTGAAGTCCCTGGAGCACTGCCAAGGGATTTGAAACCACTGGTGACACCATCAGGTGGCCTTCCAGAGGCCCAGGGGGAGTGGGAGATGCAGGGGGGTGGGAACAGGGAGCATGTTGGGAGGAGTGGCAGGCACCTGGGTGAGACCCTGACTCCAGGCCACACCGTCCCATCTGGGCCCCTGGCTGGCGCCTGTGCCTGGCATGTGCGTTGACGTGTAGGCTTGCTGGTTGCCAGGCTGGACTGTTTGTGGGAACCTGTAGCCATTTTTCCTTAAATCCTGTGTTACAGTTTGATCCGGACGGGTACTTCTGGGCTGTGATTCACTTGCTCTGTGTAGGTAAGTCTTAAAAGAATGCTTGCTATGGCGATTAAGGCTTAGTGTTTAGATCTTACTGTGAATCCGCTATTTAGTGACTTTGGACAAAGAAGATGAAACACACATCGAGGTTAGGATAAATGAATGTTCTCTGTTCGACTGTCCTGTTTGGGAGGTTTTTTGAGAGGTCTCCTCTCTTCAGGGACAGACAGGAACAAACTCACCTCCACGGTTCTGCTTGCTCAGGTCCTCCGTGGGAGGCTGGTCCTTCTTCTCTAAACAGGTGAGAAGAGACCCAGAAGTTTGTGCCAAAGACACTCCATCAATATACAAAAAAAGGAACTGGGTGAAAAAGGGCCGTCTGACTATTCAAGTCGTACGTTCGGTGCTTCTTGTCTGTGGTTCTGGGGCACCGTGCCCCGAGGCACCCACGGCCAGTCACCCCGCCCAGAGTTTCTCCTGCGCATCACTTGATAGCTTCCTGTTGATCACACCCCATGAGCACCAGCCTCCCCAGCACCTCTGTGCTGATTGCACCACCACCCAGATTGTCCACTCCCACCCCAAACCCTCCCAGTGTGGTGGTGGCCCCTGTGGGTGTGGGGGACCCTGCAGGGGAGAGGGCCTCCTTCTCCCTGTGGATTTGGTGCTTCCCGGGAGGTGCAGGCAGCCCCTTACCAGAGTGCCCTGTGCCAGTAACACATTGCTTCCTCTCCAGGGGCCTATAAGATCCTCCAGAAGTCCCCAAAATTCGGTGCGTTAAGGTAAGCGTTGGAGTGGCGCTGTGGTTTGGTTAAGGAGCAGGGTAAGATCCAGGTGCCAGGGCTGCTCCTGGCCGCAGACTCTGCCAGCCGGGTGCAGAGGGCAGCAGGCTCGGCCCAGAGCCCTTTTGTCTTTGAGTCGCTCCAAGCAGGTGCCCAGGGCCTGGCACAGGCTAGCGTCAGCGCCGGGCGGAGAGAGAAAGTCTGTTCTCCTCCTTCAGGGGTTACTCTCTCAGCTCAGCGCTCCTTTTCCTAATCCCCAGCCCTCCCAGCATGACTCGGGTCAGACCCCGAGGCCCCTGTGCGGGGAGCGTGAGGCCGGCCTTGGTGAATATGAAGGAAGGGAACCCAGGCTGGGCTGGGCTGGGCTGTGAGGTCGAAACCCCAACCAGCCATCTGGCCCTGGGTCCCAGGCCCCCCTAAGGCTGAGGGGAGAGGTGCCGAGGGAGTGGCTCCGGGAGCAGATGACACCTGAGAACGTGTGATTCTGGGGCCTATAGCACACATTGTGCTATTAATAAAGTATTTTTTTCCCTAAAAAGCCAGTGAAGTTGCCAGATAAAATACAGGGCACTCAGTTAAATTTGAATTTCAGACAAGCAGTGAGTAATTTTTTTTAGTGTGAGTATGTACCATACAATAATTAGAGCATGGTTATAATGAAACTTTGTTCTTTATTTGAAAATCTGGTTTCTTTGGGGCCCTATGTTTTTATTGGTCAAATACAGTAACCCTAGAGCTGTGCTCTAGGGTTACCCAGGTCTGACACTCCTTTAAAGTGGCCGATGAATCTATATCTATCTACCTATCTTTCATCTATCTATCAATCTCCTATCTATAATAAAAGCGTAATATGCTAATTACACCGGACAACCGAACGACCTTCTGGATATCATTCCAGACGAAGTGGAGGTGGTTACGGGCAATGAGTCAGGCAGGTGAGCAGTTAGGGGCGATCAGGCAGGCAGGCAGATTGGTTAAGGGTGATCAGATATGCAGGCAGGTGAGTGGTTAGGAGTTGGCGGTCTCGGATTGCGAGAGGGATTCAGACAGCTGGTTTAGGCCCGATCCCACAGGAATCCCTGCAGGATTTCCCAAGGGGTCCTGGTTTGCGAGAGAATGTAGGCTGGGCTAAAAGACCCCCCACCCCCTGTGCACGAATTTTGTGTACTGGTCCTCTACTCCTATATAATAAAGAGGTAATATGCAAATTAACTCTCACACCATCACAAGATGGCTGCTTATGACCAGGCTGGCAGGGGGGTTAGTGAGGGACAACCAAACGACTGTACAAGCAGGCTGCGTGGAGTGATTAGGCCAGTGTGGGGGCTGTGAGGGGCAACCAGATCAGCAGGAAGGACAGTTGGGGATGACCAGGCCAGCAGAGGGGGGCAATTGGGGGTGATCAGGTCAGCAGAGGGGGCAGTGAGGAGTGACTAGGCCAGCGAGAGGGGCAATTGGGGACAACCAGGCCGGCAGGTGTGGGGGCAGTTAAGGGTGATCAGTCGGCAAGGGGGAGGAGTAGTTAGGGGTGACCAGGCAGGCAGGCAGGTGAGCGATTAGGAGCCAACGGTCCAGGATTGTGAGAGGGATCCTGGATTGGAGAGGATGCAGGCTAGGCTGAGGGGACCCCCTGAGCACGAATTTTGTGCACTGGGCCTCTAGTATATGTATAAAAGCCTAAGTGACCATTGTGATGGAATGATTGGTTGCTGTGATGCACACTGACCACTAGGGGACAGACGCTCAACACAGGAATTGTCCTCAGCCAGCAGGACCCAATAACCCGTTCAGGACTGGGCCCCAGGCTGGAATGGGGGAACTGGGAATGGGTGGTGAGGGAAGGAGGAGCGGGGGAAGTGGGGAGGTGAGGAACCTGATCAGCCTTGATCGCCAGCCAGGCCTAGGGACCCCACCAGTGCACAGATTTCATGCACTGGGCCTTTAGTGAGAAATAATCAGCCACAAGTGAGTGTGTATGGCCAGACCAGAAACGTGTTTTTTAAATGAGCCAGGATTTAGTTTTGAGTATGAAGTACTCTTCAGACCATTTATTGATAATTTATAAATGTAGTAACTTATGCATGGATATAATTTATTAACATAGGATAGCGACTACTTTCTATATACAGAAAACACTTCTATTATTTTATGTTTTGTCTTTTTCTTATCCCTTAGTGACATTGACCAGCAGTACTTAAACTATATATTCAGGTAAGTATAATTTACATTTTTAAAGAGTAACTCATATATTTCTAGAGCTATTTTCTATATATTTGTGCTATATGTTTACAGAGCTTATTTCCCAATAATATTGTGACTTGGGAGTTCTGAGCCAACGTGACCCCAGGAAAGCGAGCTAAGTGTCTGTGAGGGACCAATCAGAACACCAACCAGCAGCCCTGCCTAGACCATGTGGGAGGGTCCTAGACCAGGTGGGAGGGGCCCTAGAGCAGGTGGGAGGGCCCTAGACCAGGTGGGAGGGGCCCTAGACCAGGGGGGAGGGGCCCTAGACCATGTGGGAGGGCCCTAGGCCAGGTGGGAGGGGTCCTAGACCAGGGGGGAGGGGCCCTAGACCAGGGGGGAGGGCCCTAGACCAGGTGGGAGGGGCCCTAGACCAGGTGGGAGGGCCTCTGTAAGCCTGGGCCCTTGGCTTCCCTCCCTGAGTGGTCCTGACCTTGATCCCAGGGCCTCCCTGGTCTGTCTTCCCAAATCATTCCCAGACCCAGTGGTGCCGGAGGGGAGGCTGTCAGTGGAAGGTGGTGGGTGGACTTGCAAGCTGAGGGGTCCACATGCAGCGTGTGAGGTCCTTGGGGTGCAGGGCACAGCCTAAGGTGGAAGGGGCAATGGAGCCAGGAGCTAGGGGCCAGGCCAGGTCTCCCCACGGTGCCCCCTCCGGCAGGGAGCTCCTGGGATCTTGAGTTTCTAATTTTTAATCTGGCCACTGGTTGTTTGAGGCTATAATCTCTATACATACCCCCTCCTTGTTTTGCAGATGAAATTGCGCGCGCGTGTGTGTGTGTGTGTGTGTGTGTGTGTGAGAAAGGGGTGTGCACAGCTGCTCTCTCCGGGGTGTGACTTGTGAAACCGAAATAATGTATTGGAGCTCAGCTGGTGAGTGTAGGAGTGCCTTCTCTTTTGCTTGCTGTGCCCCCAGATTAGAGCAGTACCTGGTGCTTCCTAGGCACTCAGTAATGATTGCTGAATGAATGGATTTAAAAGGTCTGCTGTGTATCTGGCCTGATAGGTCTTGGGGAAAAAGTCTCTCCTGACCTCTGACTAGACCAGCTGCCTTGTGGCTGGGATGGAGAAAGACAGAGTACAGAGGTGGGATCAGGCCCAAGAGGCGCTGTCCATGCGCCCGGGACAGGGGAGAAGCTTCCGGAGAGTAAGGTAGGAGAGTGCCAGGAAGAATATGGCTTCCCCCTCTTCCTCATCCTTTCTGGCATCGATTGCAAACCAGTCCAAGGAGTTTCCAGTGGATGGGCTGGGTCATTCTGAGGGCTGGCTTCATGGACATTGAGCTTCCCTGCTATGCAGTTAATTCTGTGGCAGAAACAGACTTAGCTCACGTTGCACAGCCACGGTGTAGCGCAGCCTGCCGTGATTCGGAGGCCGCTCGGTGTGGCGATGACTGTGGAGGAGGTGGGTGTGATGGTGGCCAGGGCACGGCTGACCTGGGGGGTGGATGTGGGGTGTGGATGTGGATGTGCCCACGTTTCCGGAGGCTGCACTCCCGGGAGCTGGGCGCGGGCGGAGTGGCCCATCGGCGAGGTCATGTGCGGTTTCAGTTTCCAAGGAGAAGGGTTGGAAATGCGTGTTCTCGGTGCTGGCGCTCCTTCATTTGCTGTTTCTGTTTCAGCGTGGCGCTCCTGGCCTCCGCAGCTCATCCCACAGGTAAGTTCGTCTTGTCTGTGTGTTTGCCTCCGTTGTCTGTTCCGTGCAGGCCCTGGCCCGGCCATGTCTCCAAGGACATGCTGGAGGGAACGTGGCTGCCTTCCAGAGTGTCACACCCAGGGTTAGACATGGCCTGGAACCTTCCGGAGTCATCGCCCACGCATTCATTCTCATCCCTTCCTTCAGTCAAACACACGTGATGAATGGAACAAAACAGTCGTCTTGATAAAAACACACACAACCCCTGAGAGATGGAATTCAGAGCATTCCTTCCCACGCGAGGCAGTGATCACAGAGTGGTTAGGGTCTGAGAGAGGGCCGAGAGCCTTGTGTCCTCGAGTTCCCGGTTAACGAGTGCCCTGCGGCCCATACAGCGCCCGTGCTGCCCGGTCCCCTCCACCTCCCACCCTCTCACCCCCACCCCCACCCCCCCACACCCCCGGCTCCAGGGCTGCAGGCCCAGGAGGCAGAGCGAGTGGAGGCCTGGCCCCCCTGCGCCCCCAGACTCTGGTGGATGAGTGATCTGCTGTGGAAACGCTCAGTGCCTTTCCTCGGGTGTTTTTGGAAGACTTGCTGCTTTTTTAATCTCCCGACTTCTTGTTTGTGACCAAGTTCACATTCCAGAGAGGGAAGCAGCCGGTATGTGTGATGATTTCCTCTCCACCAAGTGGGACTCAAAGAATGAACTGACTTCACTCGAAATGCATGTGCCCTTTGGACCGGCACTCAAACAAGCGTGCACCCGGCCTGGCCCTGGGCCGGGGCCGTCCTGGAACAGACAGGGGAGGGTGCCGGGCTCTCACAGCCTGGCTTTAGGTCTGAGGAGAAGAGAACAGGACAGTCACTGAAAAGGGGGTTGTTTTTGCCCCCTCTGCTGGGGCAGGAGCTGCTGGGGAAGGGGAGGATCTAGGCTTGTGAGGGAGAGCTTCCTGCTGAGGCTCCCAGCTCCAGTGGTGCCATCTTGGGTAAATCTCTCACCTGAGCTCCAGGCCAAGGGGGAGATGTCATCACAGCCCTGAGAGGTGGTGTGCAGGGCTTGAGCAGGGGTCCTGCAAGGCCGACTCCTCAGTGCATCCTTCTATGGGACTGTTACTGTCACTGTCACTGTCACTGTTACTGTGAGAAAGGGCCGTACCAGGAGCCCAGGGACGCTGTTTGAACTTGGTGCTGCTGCTCCTTGCTCAAGGTGCTGGTCGGCGAGGTTGGGACCACGGGCGCGTGCGTATGGGCCACCGTCTCACCCTCACTGTGCCCGCAGGTGACCTCCTCTGTGCCCGGGACTTCGCCTTGTTGTATTTCTACAGATTCCATGGCAGCTGCTGCGCCAGGTAATCTGATCTCACGGCCCTCACACTATTCATTCCCATTTCTGTGCTCCCAGCTGTGTCTTCGCTCCGGCGAAGCCAAAGGCACTGGTAGTCACCCATCGCGTGGCCAGGGGTGCTGCAGGGGAGGCTGGGTGCTCAGAGCTGGCTGGGCCTTCGAGGACCCCCGTCCTGCGGAAGTGTTTACACCCCAGCAGTGGCTTCCAAACTTGCCAAGAGCTGGGATTTCCCGATGTTTTTTTTCTTCTCTCCACAAGCAGTTCTTTCCACTTTAATCTGAGCTAGTTGGGTTCAAGGGGAGATTGTGGTCCACAGTCCTACCCTCTCCACTTCCACCTTGGCCTCCCTCTTGCTCCTGAAGGGCAGCCTCCAAAAAGAAATAACAACCTCCACTGAGCCCCAAGATTATGAGACAGGTTGTGGAGACCACTGAGCAGAGCAGGCTGGACGAGGTGATCTCGGGAAGTACTCAGGGACGTGGACCAGCCACGTGGATAGAACTGGGCAGGTGGGCCGTCCTGTCTCCCTGTTCCCCTGCCCCCGCCCCCTAGCCTGACTTCACTGCTCTGGGGGGCAGGTCTCTGTGGCAGGAAAGCCGACGCGGGGTGAGGTCCAGCTCGCTGCTCCCTGACCGCGTTACCTGCTTCTCCTGCCCTCTCTCGTTTCCTCGCCCGGAGGAGGGGAATGCTCGCAGGACAGGGCTGTGTGCACTGAGGCGGGAGTCTGAAGCCTGCCTGGCCCCGTGAGGATGGCCACCGTTGTCACCTGCTGAGGCCACCTGTGGGCCCAGTGTCCGAGACCGTGAGGAAGTGCTCCCTGAAGTCCCGGCTGGGGACACACAGAGCGGCCGAGGCTAGGTCCTGCCCCCCAGAGCTCCCATCAGGTCAGAGCCACCACCAGCCTGCACCCCGTCAGAGGGCAGCCTGGGGGTGCAAACGGTTCAGCCCACAGGCCGCCTGTGGTTTGGGGCACAGCTGCAGGCGTGAGTCTTCTTTTCGAGCCACACGGGCCCTCACTGCGTGTCTGTGCTGAGCCGGCCTCCGTGCTGGCGTCCCTGCCGTGCTCCCTCCCCAGCCCTGCCCCACGCCAGGGGGAGCAATTGTTCCGCTGGGAGTTCCCTGTGCTGTGCTGTGGCTACGGTGACTGTGAGGGTGATCATGAAGATGGTCTGGTGCGGCCACTGCTCCCTACCACGGCTGTCAGTGCCGCGCGGCCCCAGGGTGGGGCGTGCAGGTCACCCCGGCATCGCCTCCTTCCTGGAGTGCAGTTGCTGTGTGGGTGCCTCGCTGGGGGGCGTGTCATGGGCCAGCCCTCCCCTTTTAGAGTCTTACCTCGAACCCAGACCCTCTGCCCTCAGAGGTGCTTTCCTTTAGGAACCTGTCCTGGCCGTGTGTTCTGTTCCAGCATAGCGGAGGGCGGGGGGTACTGTCCCCCTTTTCTTTCTCGTGGTTTGACAGAGTCCGGCCAGATTTCTGTACCCCGCTCCCCAGGTAGTGAAATGCTCTCTTCACAGCTCCTAGGGAAGGAGCACTTATTGGGCCTCTAATGTCTTTTTAAACTGGAGACCACTGGGAGCAGAGGAAGTGGGTATGTAACTAAAACCGGCAGATGCAGTGTCACAGGGAACAGAAGGCAGCCTCATTCACAAAGTCTCTCCTTCCAGCGGGCTCCTGGGGTTCCTCCTCACGCTCAGCGCCCTGAAGCTGAAGAGCCTGGCAGCCCCTGGGCAGTGTGCGGCCTGGCTGCTCCTGGCTCAGGTAAGTGGGGGAAGGGGGAGCTTGGGCTGAGCTGGCACTGTCAGGCTTATCTCCACGGGTCCGTTCTGGGCACCGGCCTCCGCCTGATCCCGCTCAGCCCATGTCTGCGCCTCCTCCTTGTGCTCCCAGCCGGGGCGCCAGGGAACCCCGCACCCCGCACCCCCTACTTTCCTGAGCCCTGACGTCCCCACAGGAACACTGGAGGTTTATAAACAGACAACATCTCAAAAGCTGCTCCAGTCCTAAGAGACTGGCCTCTGGATGCACGGGGCATTCTGACCCCTTCCTGGGCTGTGCGGTGTCAGAACCCAACTGGCCAGGAGTCTCACCTGCAGAGGGGCAGAGCAAGGGAGGGGGCCGTGGCCAGGCACTGGATGAAGCGGAAAAGGGGCAGCTTACCTGTACCTGACTAGCCAGGCTCCGTGGGAGCTGGGAGGGAGGAGACAGGAGGAGAGGAAGCAGCTGTGGGACCGGGACCCCCGGGAGGTCCTGGCGCCATCCTGGTGGAGCATTTCATCCGTCGTGTCGCCTCGGGGCTGCCTGCCAGACGTGGCTGTTGTTAATGAGTGCGATCGAGTGACAGTCACCGGAACAAGTGCCCAGAGACATCTTCATGTTGATCGATTGGCTACCCCCCCCCCTCTGAAAGGAAATTCCACAGCAGCATCTACACCCGAGTGGTCTCTGTGTGAGAGCATGACTAGTTCTGACCCCATGGACGGTGGCATGGCTGAGACGCTGGCTTCCCCATGGTGGAGGAGCACGTGGACTCACCCTCCCCACGTCAACTGGAAAGCCAGACCAAGGCACGCTGACCACAGGCCCGTGGCACACAGCAGCCTGGTCCCTGAGAGTGGCTGCTCCCGGTGGGGACGGCTCTGGTGGTGCGTTCTTGCTCCCGTGCCTTCCTCCCCAGCTCTATCCGTGTAATAGTGGAACCAGAGCTAGGTGGCTGCGAAAACCACTGGCCTTGTTGGTGCTTCCAGAATCTCCACGCACAGTATTTTCAGTTAAAGGTTCTGTCCGTGTAAACGAGCAGGAAGAGCCAGGGCCCCACTGTCCTGGGCTCACAGCCCTCCGTGGTACACGCAGTGGACAGGGTCTGGCTGGGGACGTGGGGAGCTCGGGGTTGAGAGGCCCATCGGGGACTGGACAACTCTGCATGTGCCCCGGCTGACCCTGTCTGTGCTCCAGAAGCAGAGCCCCCACACTCCGCCCGCAGAGCCCGAGCGCACTCATGGGAGGGAAAGCCGGGGACATGAGCCCCCTGAGATTCGGTGTGCTCCTGGCCACTCAGAGCCAGAAGCAGAGAGGTCTTTCCTGCTCCAGGTGTGTGAGTGCGCCCTCTGCCTAGGCTTTGCAGAACTCTGAGCAGTGCAGCCGGGGGTGACCATGAGGAAAGCAGCTGAAGAAAACACAGGAAACGCGGTGAAGACCTCAGAGCTGCACCTTCCGTGGGAGACGGACCTTAAAGACTCCGTCCAGGCAGGTGACTGAGAAGCAGAACAGACGACAGCGCTCCCGCGGAGGTCAGCCCCAGAGCTGCCGCCGTGGCTACGTAAAGTGTCCGGTGTCCAGCGGAAATTAGACGCTTTCCGAGAAACAGGAAGCGTGATTTATGCCAGGAAAGAGCCGTCAGGAGGAGCCTGTCTGTGTCCTCAGATTTACAGCTCAGCAGGAAAAGACTGCGGTGCGGCTGTTCAAATACATTCAGACACAGAAAGGAAACCACATTCAGAGAATTCAAGGAAAGACAATACAGAACCTCCGTAAAGAGGCCAAATGATTTTGAAAAAGAAAGCCAAATGGGAAATCTGGCGTTGAAAGTAACTGACATGAAATGACCGATTTTCTAAAGGTATTCAGTAATAGATTGGAGATGACCCAGGAGGCCGAACAAAGGGAATTCTTCGATCTAAAGAACAAAGACTAAAAAAACCCTAAAATATAAACAGAGGCTTAGCGATCTGTGGGACATCAACCACAGCAATGTCTATATAAGAAATCCAGAAGAAGAAGAAAGAGAGGTAGAAAAAAAAAAATAGTTTAAATGGATGACTTCTCAAAAAAAAACAATGGAGGATAACACATTTAATGTGTTGAGAGAAAATGTCCAACCAGGAATTCTCTATACAGCAAAACTGTCCTTCAAATATGAATGAGAAAGACATTCCCAATTAAAGAAAGGGATTTTTGCTAGCAGTCCTATCAATAGTTACATTATATGGGAATAGACTAAATAGCCCACTCAAAAGTCAGAGATTGTCAGTCTGGATAAAAAAGGAAGACCCAACTGTATGCTGTCTATAAGAGACACTTCTTAGATTCAGAGACACAGAGAGGTTGAAAGTAAAAGGATGGAAAAACAACCTTGCAAACAGTAGCCATAATGCAGCTAGCCCTAGTGACTATTAAAATCCAACTAGACTTCAGATAGGAACTATGCCTGGAGAAGGTTAATATGTTGGGAAGATGTAACAGTTATAAACACCCCTAACAACAGCAGCCCAAAGCATACGAAGCAACAAGTGACAGAGCAGAAAGGAGGAGCAGTGACAGCTGGGATTCCAGTGCTGTGGGAGTGCAGACCGGGGCAGCCACTGGAACACAGAGGAGCTTCCTCAGAAAATTAAAATGGAGCTGCCTTTTGACCCAGCGATCCCACTTCTAGGAATAAGAATCCTGAAACACCAATCAAAGAATACGCACGCCCCTATGTTCATAGCAGCATTAACTACAACAGCCACAATCGGGAAACAGCCCAGTGCAGTGCCCATCGGCAGGTGCATGGATAAAAAAAGCTGTGGTACATCCACATCATGAACTACTACTCGGCCGTCAAAAAGAAGGAAGCCTTACCTTTTGCGACAGCATGGTGGGCCCTGGAGATTGTTGTGCTTAGTGAAATAAGCCAGTCGGAGAAAGACAAATACCATGTGGTCCCAATTACATGTGGAATCTAATGAACAAAATAGAACCGGGGCATTGATGCATGGAACAGACGGAGCTGTCAGAGTGGGAGCGAGACTGGATGGAAGAGCCTGGCTGGTGTGGCTCAGTGGTTGAACGTCAACCTCGGAACCAGGAGGCCACAGGCCACAGTTCAGTTCCTGGTCAGCGCACATGCCTGGGTGCTCCCCCCCTCGTAGGGGGCGTGCAGGAGGCAGCTGAGAGCTGATGTTTGTAATTGATGTTTGTAATTCCCTATCCTCCTTTCCTCTCTCTCTTAAAAAAAAAAAGAATAAAAACACATTTCTTTAAAAAATGAAGGATTTTTAATTCTTCCTAAATGTGAAGGATTGAACAAAAGCCATTAAGAGTTCTTCTGGCTTCAATATATTAAACAATCTTCCCTCCTCTCTTCTTCTTCTTTTCTATTTAAAAATAAGCTCTGTGACCCCCACTGCATAATGGTTACCCATCCCGACATGCACTTTCCTACAGACCAGACGTGCTGACATTGAGGTGCAGCACGCTGTACGCGGCCCTTCCCGTGATGTCACTGGGACGGCTGGGCGCCCGTGTATAGAGTGACTCGGAAGGTTGCTCCGTTGGCCCAGAGGAGAATTGGGATTCTGTGAAACACTCAGAGATACACAGGCCGAGAGGCCATTTGGAGGGGCCTGGGACACCTTCCCTGTCCCAAAAGCACCGATGCTCCTCCCCTTCCAAGGATGTGTCACGTCGCATCATCACGCCCGCGTTGGAAGAGGAGGCGTCTGTGCTGCTCTCTGTTCCTCGTCTTTCTTTGCCTCTTTCCTGGGCTCGGTGCTCAGCAAGGACAGGTGCCTTCTCAGTCACTGTGTCATTATGGTCATTGCTGGTCTCGGGGACTGGAGGGCATTCTAAGAAGCTGAAAACAATACTTAGCAACCTTTTCCGCTCCTTTGTCTGATGAAGCAGCTGTGTGAACCCTAACGCAGCCTCGTACAGTCGTGGGGTCCCTTCCAGCTTGTGCTGAAGAGCATTGACGCAGGGGAAGTGGTTGCGTTTAAGAGAAAAGCGATGACGTGCAGGCATGTGAGGAAGACATGGTCGCTGGTGGTTGTTCCAGCAGCTCTACGTTCTGAGAATTCTTCTGTGTCGAGTAGCGTCTTGTCTCATCCTTCCGACGGATGGATGGCAGCCCTCTGTGTCCGGGAAGAGGCAGCTGAGGCTGAGCCAGGAGAGGAGACTCAGTACCCGCCCGGCTGTCGAGGACCCAGTGTTGCTCCCCATGCACAACTGCTCCCCAGGAGGGCAGAGTCTCCCGCAGGCCAATGCAGTGTCCTCACCCTTCACGCCCGGAGGCAGTGGAACCCAGGAAGCGGCTTCCTCTGCCCCTATGGCCTCGGGAGCAGCTCGCTGTCCTTGTCTGTAACTTGGTGACTTGGTTATTTTATTGTTCGAGTGTCATCTCTAAGGCCGGGACTCGGTGCTGGCCGTGCGGCGGCGTGGTGTCTGTGTGATGTCTGCGTGTGCCGGGTTCTCGGGGCCTGCGGGAGGGCAGGGGCCTTGCTCACCGGGCCCAGGCCCTCTTCTGACACGGTCAGGTGTGCTGCCTGCGGAGCAGCTGTGTGTGACGGGGTTTTAAGGGTCAATGGGCTTGCACAGTTTGGGGGACATTGAAGGTGTCTTTGAATGGGGGGGGGGCTCTGAGTGAGGCAGCGGAGTGGCTGAGCGGCCCCCGTCAGCGTGTGACACGCAGGCGCAATGTGTGTGCGGTGTGAAGGGGTCACACGGAGGTAAGCCAGCACCCCTCCTCACCCACTCACAGGAGGACACAGGCGCCTCGGGTGGGGAGCGGCCTTCCGAGGCCACTAGCCTCCGCGTCATTCTAGTTTCCGTGTCTGTGCTGCAGTGTCTTTCTCCCTGTTGTCCTCATCACCCCGGTCTCCCCATCTCTGCCACAGCGCTGGGTGGGGACACGCTGTCCTCCTGGGGGGAAGTCAATCTCGGAGGAGGAGGCCCTCCTGTTTGCTCTGCTGCCTGAGGCTCCACCCCTTCCTCCTGTCACAGAGTCTCACCGGAACGCCTGGCCAGTCCCGCGTGCTCTCCCTCTCTCTCGCTCGCGCCTCCCTGTGCCCTGGACCCAGGGGAGAGCAGCGCTGACTCGGCGACGTGCGCAGCGAGGGGCTTCCCGTGGAAAGCTCAGTGCGGCTGTTTCCGCGGACGTTGGAGCCACTGCGGCAAGGAGAATAATTTTTCGTGGAAAATGAAACCTTGCGGTGGCATATTCCCCTCTCGGCCTCTCGCTAGGCAGCCACAGGCAGGTCCCGTCTTCCGGGCGTCTGCGGAGCCCGTGGCTGCGCACAGATATCTGGGAATTATTCCTCACGAGCACGGCGTTCCCAGAGGGACGTGGGCGGATTGAAGGAAAACATTAAAATTCCATCTCCCATTGTCACACAGTTCACGCGGACCGAGGCCTGTTCGCGGACATTTTGCTGTTTTGGATGAAGCTGTTTTTCTCGTTTCCAATGATGAAGTCTGATTTTTTTTCTGGGCTATTTTTAGAGCCATTGATCATCCCAGTGTTCTGTGCCGCAGAAATATGATAACAATTCTGGTTTCACAACTCTGACCTGAATGAGTTTGCTTATTGAGGAAATACTTTGAATTTCTGTAAATTTCCTGCCTGCAAGGTCTTATATGGATGCTGTTATGACCCAAGATTATTTATTTAGGAAATGTGTCTTTATTGCTTTTGAGAGAGAGGGAGAGGGAGCGAGAGAGAAACCTTGCTCCACAGACCGCAGCTCCACCTCCAGCTCGGCTTTAGATTCCGGCACCAACGCCCCTGGTCCCTGGAACAACGGACGTGCCGGCAGATCACAGCCAACCTGGTGCTCCTGTGTGCAGATGTGTGGTTGGTACTCGCACACGTTTCTTATTTAATTCCCATCACAGCTGTGTGGACCCACCACATGCTCCTCTGGCCCCTTGGACGAGAGGGAGCACAGATGTGGGTGACGCCTGTTACAGCCGGGGAGCGGGCCCAGCCCCAGGCCCCCTGCAGGAGCCGGGCATACAGCACTGCCGTGTGCAGTCCCTGCCGGAGGCACGGGCAGTGGCGTGGCCTGTGCCAGGCGAGCAGGTGTGGGAGCCCCGAGGAGCCTTGTCTGCTCGCCGTGAGGCAGACCGGCCGGGGAAGGTCTGGATGTGGGTTCCAGCGGGCGAGGAGGAATGTGGGTGAGGTCTACAGGCAGAGGGGACTTGGAGCACAGGTGAGATGCTGGGATGAAGTCGAGTTTGAAACCGGAGCCGATAAGTGAGGGCGTGGGCTACCCCGGCAGTGTGGGTTAGAAACTCACCGCAGATCGCAGCAAATCCTACCAACCAGCCTGAACCTCGACTCTCCCCCAAATACAGGACTCTGGCAGGTTCGCTCACAACACTTTATTTTCTTACAAAAACCCACACAAACATTTATCTTTGGATTGGAACGAGTGTTTCTAAAACAAACCCGACCCGTTTGAATAACAGGAGGCTGTGACCGCTGTCCGGAAGCAGGAAGTTCACGGCCACAGACGCAGGGCCGAGTGCCGCCTTTGGCGTCCTCCGCGTGGGGCCTGCTGTTTGCTATTCGCTCCGAGTGCGAGGGAGCGTTCCTCAGGCCGCAGAGCTGTGTGCAGACAGACGTGCCCTCCAGGTGCCCTTGGTGAGGAGGACCAGGGCGCAGCGGCCGCTTCCTGTCTTCAGGGTAGCTCCGGCAGCATCGTGAGGTCTTCACAGACAGACTCCGGCTCTTTAACGCTCAAGACCAGCCCTGCTCTCACGGACATCCGTCTTCAGAACTTTCCATCATCCAAACGGAAACTGCCCGTTGGAAATGGCCCGTGCTCGGGCCGCCACCTCCCTGCCCGTCTCTGAGTGATGCCCTGCACCTCAGCGTGGGATCTCGGTGTCCGAGCACAGGGTCCCGGCCTCACTCACCGCCGCATGCTGCAGAGCCGCTTCCTTTAGGGCCGAGGAATCTGTGTCGTCACGTGGCGCTGTCGACTCGCCCTCAGTGGGCTGTTGGGGCGCTTCCCAGCGGTTTCTGAGCTGCTGCAATGAACATAGGGGTGCAGGCACCTGTGTGCCTCCTGCTTTCAGTGATTCTTCCCCTTGTGCCCCTTCCCCTCAAACCCCACAAAAAACCGCAGGCCAAGGCAGGACACAGGCGTGCCGTCTGGAGGACCTGGGACGGCCGTGCACCCAGACCTGGGTTCACGTGGACTAGACGGAGACCAAGGTCTGCTCTGCCCACCTCGGAGGGGGGAGGGGGCGCTGCGGGGGAGGGGGACCTGAGGGGGGCTGCCTGCCGCCGCCCGTGACCGGTTTGGGAATGAAATGCTTTTGCAGGCACCCACTTCCCACATAGAGTTCAGTGTCTTCCCACCAGAGCTCCCCTCAGCAACACTGACCAAGGCACTGGCGTGGCCGGGAGGGAGGGGAAGGGAGGGGAGGGCGGCGTCGGACCTGGCCCAGCCTGCGCTCGGCTTGTGAGGGCTGGAGAAGGTTCTGGAGCCCACGCTGATGCCTCTGTTGGGCTTCTCTCTGCAGGTGACCACAGCTGGCTGCTCGGTGCTACTGTTCGAGGGCATCCTGACCAGGGCGGCCGTGGGATGGTGAGTGGCCATGGTGGTGGGGTTCTCCGGGTGCCATGGGAAGGGCGAGGCGTGGGCGTGGGCACTCAGAGGCTGTGTGGCTGGGCACACCCTCCCCGCCATGCTGTGCAGCCGGAAACACAACACGCAGCCCCTAGCACTTGTGTGCACAGGAGCGCATGGTGGCAGCCATGTCGGCGTGTGAGGCTGTGCGGTCTCTCCGTCCTCCATTCCTTTGGCTCTCAGACTAGCTCCAACCGTCCTGTTTAGAAGGACCCGTCCTCACAGGGAGACGGCACGGCCTCTGAGGGCGAGCAGACTGAGGAGCGAGTCGTGGGGCTCGGGGGGACAGTGCAGAGGCCTGCGGTGGGGGTGACCAGAGCCGTGGCGAGGGAGAGGGCAG